GAGTATTGATATATTTGTGTTCTTCACTCAATATTCTTTGAGACATTTGTCTCTGAAATTATATATTTCACCCATCAAATTGTTATAGTACAAAGTGTATGGCATTCGCTTTCGCTCAGAAATAATCTGTTCGTCCTAGGAAGGTGAATAACGGCCATCGTCCTTTGAGCAAAGCCACTTGGCTGAGGGAAACTAAATAAAAGAGATTTTAAACTCCTTAGCCGATGTTTCTTTCGTCTTTGTATTTCGGTAAAATTGGGCAGACCACCGAGACGTAGTCTCCCCAGACCTTTTCAGCCAGGGCAGCCGTAGTTACACCAGCCGTAGTGATTTGCTTAAACTCCCTAATATTTGACCAAGTACGGCAGCCGCATTTTGAAATTTAGTTACGGTCAAATTTCGTCTTTTTACAGAATGTTTTTTTTGTTTTATTTCTATGCAACATTACATAATAAATATCGTTTTACATTTCATTAACTGTTTGTATTAATAATTGGTGATCTCCAAGTTGTCTGATCCAGCATGGCGGACTTTGCCGTTTTTTAAGTACAGGTAATATGACGTTCTGACTAACGATGAACACCTCACCTTGAAGGGCACGTTTCCTATCTTTTAAAACAAAATGGTGTTGATGCTTTATTACAACACAAAACCTACCCGCCCCCTCCCCTAGCACCGCACCGAAACATCAGTTAACATTTCTCACAAGATTGAGATAGAAAAAAATTAGATGATCTGATTTACATACTTACCGTGTGGGGATATGAGGAAGACATTAGGCGATTGATCTCATTTAAAAAAATATATATATATATCTAATGGCTCTGACGTTAGACAGAAGGCTATTTCACAAATGTGCCCGACTGTAGCAGATACTACGTTTTAAAAAAGCGGTACGGGGCTTAGGCAGAGCTATTTGTTTTCAATATTTCTAGTATTAATAGTCCGTGCTGAAGGGTTAAAATAGGCCTTTCAGATACTCCGGGGACTGATCATTTACTGTTTTAAAAATTAATTTCAATTTTTACATTTTCCTTCTGATATCCTTTCGGCATTTTTCTTTTC